TTTCTATCTTGTTATGTCTCGCATCCAAAGCGACATCCATTTATTAGAAAACGACCAGCGGCAGTTTTGTCGCGACAGAATGGAAGAATGACATGACAGACTTTTTTCGTCAATAACCATATCGACAGTTTCCGTCAATCTTGTCGTCCGACGTACGTGAAACAACTAAGTCATTCTGGAAAACGACACACAACAGATGTTTCGTGACCAAATGAGAGAAAGACAAGAATAGAAAATGTTTCGTCGAGAGATAGCCCAGTAGATCAGTCTTTCAAGCAGAATTTTGTTGCATCGTGCTTGTCAGATGAGCGTTGACTTTTTTTTGTTGTCGTTGTTACATAGTTTATCGTCATGAGATTGACAATTCCCAAGCCTGCCTGGGACAAAGGATGGTCAATCCTGAAAATTTGCGTACGTCATATTTCAGTTCCTTTCTAAACCTACAACTTGCTGAACATTGTTCGGTTCTATTTTATTGCTTGAGCTTCGTAACAAACGTGGGTTCCCGGGCCAGCGTTGCCAGGTATACCGATTTATCGGTATTTGTACCGATTTTTTTTTAATAATTACAATGCTATGAATATGCTCAAAAACTAATTCATCTTAAAATATTTCTTAGAAAGCATCCATTAAGTCCGTCACGCTCTATGGGGAGGGGGGGGGGAGGAGTTTACAAATGTGTGACGAGCAACTCGACTAACATTGAAAGCTGAATAAATACTTATTCAGGCAAACATATGCTGCTTCATCGAAGAAATAGCTTATTCAGCTTTTAATCAGCTCAATTTTTTTTTGGGAATGTGTTATGTACAGGAAAAACGTGACAAATGGGGGGAGGGGAGGGGTTGAGTTTCCCTAAAATGACGTGACGTAATTAATGTATGCTTGATACTCTTTCGACTAGTGTTTCCATTTCCTCGCCGTGTTTGGCTACCCAGAAATCGAGGAACAGCTAATGACTCATTTCGGTAATTCCTGGGAGTCGGGAAATACTTTTGGCTTTTATGTCACCAAAAATGCTCATCAGAATGTTATTTTTCAATCCCGATTTTACTTTTCTTTATTACCGTGATTTTTAACCGTAGGCTAGTTCATCACGTTATACAGCAGAGATGGTCAGGCTAGATCCTGCCTAAAAAAAATAGGTTTCAATTTGACATTAACGTGACGTATAACTGGCTCTGATTACCCAACGAATGAGACAGGCACTATTTTAAAAACTTAATGTAAAGGGAGGATTAGATCGGGGCTGTGGTGAGGACTGGGTGCGCGAACAATGTAGAGCTCCACCGTAGTTGAAAGTGCCCGGTCCGGCGGAAAAACCCCGACGGCAAAAACAATAGAAACGTGAGAAACACACGATCGGTGCAGCCACCGACGGGAGGCTAGATTTGATCATACAAGTGGGCTTCCTTCATAAAGGTGATCAGCGCATTACTGACGTTCTCCGGGAGTCCATGTTGTTCACGTAGCTTCTGGAACTCCGGGCAGATACACAGCACGTGTTCCACCGAGGCGGGGATGCTGCAAATTGAACAGACCTTGCGGAAAGGTGTTCCACCGAAATTTAAAGGAAATCCTCGCATGATCGGTCCGGAGTCTTGAGATGATCCGCTGGTCTTTGTACTTTTGGATGTCCAGCCAGGAGCGTACTGTTTCCTTGATCGTCCTCAGGAAAGTAGTCCGCGACTGGAACCATTCCTGATGCCAGGCTTCCATAATAGTATTCACAATCCAACGCCTGACGTCTAGGAGGGGTACGTTCCTGGTGTAGCGGGGACGGGATGCACCAGATCTCGCCAGTCTGTCCGCAGCCTCGTTTCCGGGAACGCCGCAGTGTCCGGGGATCCACGTAAAAACGGTTGAAGGTGGGGCGTACCGTGTAATGGCTTGTATCCAGGGGTGGCTCGGGGCTTCGGCTTCCAGCGCTTGGATGACGCTGTGTGAGTCAGTTAACACGAGGATCAGTTGATCTGCCGGAGTTATTGCTGCGTTTAGAATAGCTGCGGCTTCAGCGGAAAAAACGGAACACTCCTCCGCTAGACTTTGACTCGTTGCAGTGTTCGGTCCTGCCACTCCGAGTCCAACTCTAGCCGTGCCCCGGATAAACCGATCCGAGAAGCTCTACAACAGATCGTCTCAAAGCTACAGAGTTATCTCCGGCTTGGAATCAACTCTTCATCCGCTTATCTATTTTGATGACGTTTGATCGCCAACTCTTATCTCCATGCCAGTGGGCCCTAGCCACCGGGGGGAGGTCACGGTTGGCTGCACTGCGAAGGGCTCTGTTCCCCTCGAAGTTATACACAATTTGAATTTTTTCTTCACATGAACAGATTTTGCAATGTGGTCATCGGAATGTATTACCAACAATCAATACGAAACTAACGATTTTTAATTGGCTCACTACTTGACTAGCCTATTGGTCCCAAGCAATCGATTAACGAACCCCATTCTAGTCAAAATTTTAGTACTACACAATGTTTGTTTTGATTCGCTATGAAAGTTTGACAGATAAAATGAGGGGTTAGTGGATTTTCCTATGTTTCGAGGGGTGAATCGATTAGCTTGGGACCGAAGAGAGTACCAGAGCTGAGCCAAAAAGTTGAGCACGTTTCTTCGGGACCTTCTGGTCTTAGAGTTACCTCTATGGTATTACCGTGAACGACACTTCATTTTTACTTCATTCATATTTACGGGGCTCATTTTTACTTTTAACTTCTTGAAACCCTATGAGCATAAGAAAATCGTGTTTCTGGTAGCCTTATTTGCTGTTTTGTTTTAATTCTGCGTTCCGTTTCACAATGTTTCATCTCGTTTTACTCCGTTCCATGAGCTAATTGACGTTTGAACCATTTTTAGTTTGCGCAGCATTTGAATTAGCGGGGTTCAAATTAAAAAGTGTGCATGTTAAAAACGATCAGATTACCGGGGGTACACCCAGCCGGGAAATGTAAGATTCTACTGCAAATTTACATGAAAGGATGCACAATTTGCAATGTGTCGCTATATGAACAGATTATGTAATGTGGTTGCCGGAAGGTTTTCTGGATAATTTTGTATTTTTTATGATATTTTAATTTTCGAACAAAGTTTGATTCCCCAAATGCAGTGCGGTTAGAAAATCATCGCGTGCTGGTTTTGTACAAAAATATCCATTCTAGAAGAACTTGCTTGTACACTGCAGTCCATTACAAGAACTTTCATTACATTCGTTGTTTAAAACATATGCAGAGGATGTAATAAATCTATTGTGACACTTTGAAAAAAAAAAAACAACTAGATTTTGACAACAAAGATGAAGCCGCAGTGTTGCCAAAATTGAGACCTCACTGTTTTCAAATGATTTTGTTTTTAATTTTCGTCAAATTAAAAAAAATAAGACGGCACGTGCTGGCTCTTCGAACATAGCAGTGCGCCAGTAGTTACGAATTTTCAATCCATGGTCCACCACAGTCAAGCATTGCGAAGCTCAGGGCCAAATGATTCAGTTCAAAAGTATCAAATGACCTACAACAGCTGCAATTTGGAAATACGCTGCATCAGCGTTATAGCTTTTTTCCTATTCCTAACCTCAAATTTAGACTGCACTCACTCAGTAGTATAGAGGAAACCAACAAAATGCAACGAAAAACAAAAATCTCCCAACCAACCAAAAACAATCAGAGCGTCAAATGTATACAACAATACGCATTGCACCCCACACCAACTTCCCGGCAACAACAACAACTTCAGCAACAACAAAAATACCACCTAGCCACGCATTTTACGTCGGTTGCTAATGTGTTGTATATGCAATCGTTTACATTAATAAAAAAGCTTTACTATTAGCTCGAACTTTCGCCCACAATGTGATTCGCTTTCCGATGTGAAACACCAGTAACAGCAAAATTTCACCTGTTCCTAAGGCAACAATCATCGTCGACAGAGCTCCCGCCGCAGCAAGCCCATGATCGATCAACTTCTGCCGCCGCACGCAGGTTGCTTTGTAATTTGATTGCTCCATTCCACCGCACCGCACCGCACCAATAAGCAACTGCAACTATACGAATCACCGGCCAAATGCATTCGACGAACGCAGTAGTAACCTAATGCGCGATCCGAGTAACCCAAGGAAAATGCTTTCAGAGACCTTTCGCGAGACGCAGTTAAAAAAAAATTAACTGCAGATAAAAAAAGCTCTTATGTAGGAAAAATGATGCGATGAGAAAACGAAAAATTGCACCCATCGGAACTGGGGAAATTTTTTTCCACTGTATAAAGTGTGGATTTTTTTTTGTGAATGAATAAAATAATAAAACGCAGCCAACGATGATGGGAGTCTGAACAAAAACATGTAGATTATTTCATCGAAAGGCAGGCAGTGGAAGATGTTTAACTTGATCTTATTTAAACAATAGGAAATCACAAGATGAAAGCGTGGGTGATGGTCTTGCACCTTGAGCGAGGATAACAATAGGAAGCTTAATTTAGTGATGCTCGCATGATTTCTGATTTCCTGAAAGTGACGTGTGTTTGTTTTTGACAGGTGTTTCTAATATTTGTGATGAAGACAAGAAATCAAAACGTTGACAGGGCAAAAGTGAATTCGATCGCAGTCGGCTGGTGTATGGTCGGTTTCCATAAGTAAAGAAAATGCGATTGCGTTCAAAGTGTTGACGTCGTCGACGCCGCCGTCGGTAAGGCAAACACAAGAAGACAAATGAGAGCGTGAAGAGAACCGATACATCGCTCATTGGGCTGCAATGAATTAATTGAAATAAATAGACCGCGATCCGAACGACGGCGAATCAAATTGGATACCACGTGACTAACATTGTTCGCCCCCATTCATAAACCATACCATTTAACCCTTCCCCCCCATCGACCTCCTCGCAGTGAAAAGCAAACCCCTCAAGTTTCGAACCCAGACCCTTAACAGAGCGCCCTTTGCTGGGTGGGCAGTTAGTAGAGTTGACACAATTGGTTTCTTATCGTTCCGACAATCCTGAATGGATAAGCACAGCAGGTCCAAACCGACGCTCGAGGACTACATAATCGACATGGAGACGCGGCCGCCCGACAGCGGTCAGATCTCCGACAAGGACGTCTGGGCCCAGCTGCACCAGAAGGAAGCGGATCTGCTGCTGGCGGCCGAACTCGGCAAGGCTCTGCTGGAGACGAACGAGCAGCTGAAGAAGCAGCAGGAGAAGCTGATCGACGACTACTCGGTGAAGCTGGAGGTAAGTGGCTTTTTTTTTCTTGACTATGTTTATTGATATTTGATGCATCACACGAAATTGATTCGATGAACTGTGAGTTCTAGTACTAATTTCGAAGGCGGAGTTTAATAATGAAAAACAATTGGAAATCTCTGCGAAGAATCTTTTAAAATTCTCAACGTCAATAGGAGAGATTGATGGTCTACCTCCATTATTTCAAACAACTCACATGTGTCACTTTTCTACAAGAAGTTAAAACTGTGATGCCAGTTAAAACATTACCTGGGAAATAGAATACATATAATTGAAGGAACATTTCGCCAAACTCCTTTCTCTTTATGCCAAGGGATTACGGCTCTATGGATCTCATTTGTCGGTTTGGTTACATCCTAATTTGATTTCGTCAGTTGGTTCAGTTCGAATATGATGGTTCAGGAATTTCCGAACCTGTTACTGAGTAGTAGATTGATTTTAGGTATAAATCATGTCTAATCCTTAAATTTAATCACCGTGCTAATCCTCTAATTGTTGTTGGTGGGCTATCTCTATCCTCTCTACGATAAGAGAGGACCAGATTGGTTAATTTTATGGGGACATACCCCTCACCATCCCTCTCCAACAGGGGAGTTTGGTAAAGAGATAGATGATCAAACCGATTTGTACCTTCATAAAAGTTGTCCTTGCTTGCTTTCTACTCGCTATGTATACAATTTCACACTGCCGTACTCTAACGAAACTATCAACTCTATACTTTCATCTCTTCATCTATGGTATAAAAATTACCACTCTTGTCTGTTATTTGAAATTAGCATCTTCAACTATGTTTCAGAAGAGATTACTCCACAACCAAATAAGCTATTCGTGATCTTAGAACGTCAATATAAAGTTTTTTTTTTTTATTGTAGGTGTACCCCCATTTTGTTTTTGTTATAGTAACTACCGGCAGGTATCCACATTGTCAAAAAAGAGCCTATTTTCATCATGGGCGGCATTTTTTATTTCTTAATATTTTGAGCTCAAATTTTCGCCACACTTTGGAAAACTCTTCAGCTAGATGTGTTTCCTAGGGCAATTGATTGGACAAATAGTTTTTGAGATAAGACCAGATGTGTGAGAGGTAGTTTTAAGCTTTTCTGGGGAAAAATCAATTTGGATACCTGCCGGTAATCAGCCTGTTTACTGTAGTTACTATAACAAAAACAAAATGTGGATACAGCTATAAGAAACTACATTAAAAAAACTTCAAATTGACGTTCTAAGATCACGGATAGCTAATTTGGTAGAGGAGAAATCTTTTCTGAAAGTTGAAATTTTTTAAAATCTCGAAAATCCAAAAAAGGTGTTTTTTTTTTCAAAATGCCAAAATAAGCGTTTTGTCCAAGTTTGGCTCGAATCGGTGCATTTTGATTTTAATTATGGTGAAATAAATAAGTCTGATTATTTGCTTTCAGATTTTTAAATGAAAGCAGCTTAACTGCAGAACTGTTAACGTCTTGTTCAAAATTGAACTACCAATTATTGTTAAATTGTTTTGTTGAACACAGTTTAGGTCATTTGTGACTACTCACGGGTGAGATTTGAACTCAATTCTTTCAGCGTGAGAAGCATGGTTGCTAACCATTTACACCAGGCCCGTATTCAGTTAAATATTATGAATGCAACATCAGTGATCAAATTTATTTCATTGAGAGCAGGATTGACGTAGGATTACGTCTTTCGGCAACATATAGGTGGCGCAATTTAAAAAAAAAACAAAATCGACCGCGTTACGAAAAGTGGTCAGGTTTTAACCACTTATACTTCTGTAAATTGTAAATTCTAAACAATCCAATCGATTGGAATTTTTTCTACGAATCTTCAAAAATGAACACTTTATCAATTTTCAATAGGTCAGTGTTGAAAATTACACAAAAGTCCAACTGCTTTCGAATTCCATCCGGTCTCGCCGAACGGTGTTTATTTAATCACCGCGTGTGTCGTGAGTGGTGGTGTCCGGTTGTCCTCAGCAGCAGCAGCTGCTTTCGGCGCGTGGCGTTGAACATTGTTCTCCAGTACACAACGACAGGTTGCCCGCAAGCAGCGAGCTGCAGCCCACCCGCGTTCATTCTTCGAAGCTGGAGGAAGATGCTGCACCGCTACTGATCGGATTCAGTTGCTCATCGTGAGCCGCTGTGGGCCATCTATGCTAAGCGCGTCACTCTAGTTCCAAACTACATACAGCTCACCAGCCGCATCCGTGTTGAACACCCTAATAGCTCAGCATTACTCAACCATCACGACAAAACGGTTCTTTTCAGGACCACCTTAAATTATTGTTCTTTTAGAGTTGATTTTCAATTAATGTGATTCCTTGTAGCGTCCTTTTTCGCAATACAGTTTGCAATTTCACAAGCCAAAATATTGAGGATTTTGTGAATTCACGTAGCTGAAACGACTACTTTTTTTTGCTGCGAAGAAGCAAGCAACAACTGAAATTTGCAGATTTACAAACCCGTAGATCTCGAGTTGTGTGCTCTTGAAATGGCGAAGAAAAATGATTCTACAGGGAAACAACTTAACGTTCGCTCGCCATCCGTTATGGGAAAAAGTGGTTTTCCTAACACAGTTGCCAAATTCTTGAGCACGTGTTTATATTTGCATGAATGGTGAGCAGGCATGGGAATTGTCGCGTTTGTCATTGGCGCACGACAAGATACATTAAACATGGTCATCCTGGAAATTTCTCGTCAAAAAACAATTTCTTGTCGTACGACAAGATCACCACGACAAAATCAAGAATCCATCCAGTCGCGAGTATTTATTCTAGTCGCATGTCACTCATACTGTTCCCTGTGACAAAGTACTATAGGTCACACTATCGGCTCTGAGCTCAACACAACTTTATACCTCACAGTGAACTTCTTCGTTCATGTCCGAATGTATGGGTTCTGTCTCTTCTTTCGTCAACCAACCAAACGTAAAAAGTCATTTTGTCCCTTCATTATTGGTATTTCCGGAATCGGTATTTCAAGATGGCGGCTTACTACATCAGAGAAAGTGGGTAATACTGCCAAATACCCTTCAATGTGGATATTTTCAGGATCCGGCTGACGTCTAGAGACCGAAAATCGATGCCCAGCGCCATCTTGAAATTCAAGATGGCGGCATCCGGTATCAGAAAAAGTGGGAATATACCCTATTAATCGCTGTCCAACACCATTTTGAAATCCAAGATATGGCGGCTGCCGGTTTCAGAAAAAGTAGGAAATACTGCCAAACACCGTCAATATAGATGCTTTCGGAATGACGTCGAAATCCCTTCAATATAGATATTTTTGAAATCAGGGTGTTGTCTAGGACCAGATATCATTGTCCAACGCTATTTTTAAATCCAAGATGGCGGCTTCTGGTTTCAGAAAAAGTGGGAAATAATGTTAAATACCATTCAATATTTAAATTTTTTGAATCGTCTGACGTGACGTCTAGAGACCGTAAATTGATTTCCGACGCCATCTTGAAATCCAAGATGATGGTTTTCAGATCCAGAAAAGAGAGAAATACTGTCAAATACCCTTCAATATGAGTATTTTTGGGAATGAAATGACGTCTAGAGATTTTATATCGAAATCGGAATGACGTCTAGAAATAGAAAAAGAATGTCTTGAAATCCAAGATGGCAGCTACAGGATACAGGAAACTTGGAAATACGGTGATAGACACGGACTAGCAATTACTGTGCGATTCCATATTGGATTCCACGATGGCAGCTTCTGGTAACAGATAAACTGGATAGTACTGTTAAATACCCCCACAAAATGGGTATTTTTGAAATGGGAACGATATATAGTGGCTCAAAATCGATGTCTGACGCTATTTAGGAATCTAAGATGGCAGTCCTCTGTTTTTATAAAACTGTCAAATACCCTACAATAGACGAAAAATTGATGGCTGACTCCATTCCGGCATTCAAATTTTCGGCATCTACACGTTGCCTTGTTCCGAAAATATCCATATTGTAGAGTATTTTACAGTTTTTCTTAAAACAATGGCCGCCATCTTGGATTCAAAAATGGCGTAAGATCTCGATTTTCGAGATGTACGCGTCGTACTTGTTCCGAAAATAACCATATTTGATAGTTTTATTTCTGAATCTGAGAGCCGCCGTATTGAATTCCAAAATGATGACAGACATATATTTTCGGGATGTACACGTCGAACACGTTCCGAAAATATCCACATTGAATGGTATTTGACAGTTTTTCAGAATCTGAGAGCTGTCATTTTGGATTACGAAATGGCATCCGAAATAGATTCTCGACATCTACCCGTCGCCCCCGTTCCTAAAATACCTATGTACACATCGATTTTCGGAATGTATGCGTCGTCCCCGTTCCGAAAATACTCATATTGTAGGGTATTTGACAGATCATCCGAAAACATAATTGATATAGTTTTGTTTTGTTTTGTTTTGTTTTGTTTTGTTTTGCTCGCGCAGCAAGAGAACCCGACGTTCTCACACGCCAAGTTGGCAACATTGCTGGATGTGGCCAAATCGACCGTGACAAACGTTTTAAAAGTGTTCGGGGAGCGTCTGTCGACCGTCAGGAAGCCTGGAAGCGGCGGCAATCGTAATCCGGACGTGGCAGCGACGACGAAGAAGGTGGCGGTGAAAAATAAGCGGAATCCTAACCTCTCCATCCGGAACGTCACTGGCAAGCTCAATGTCTTCCATACTACTGTGCAGCGGGCCAAGAAACGAGCCGGGTTGTCGACGTTTAGGAATGTGAAGGTGGCGAACCGAGATTACTAACAAAACACGTCGGCAAAGCAACGGTCCTGAAAGCTGTATACGAATCTGCTCACAAAGTTCGACTGTGTCGTCATGGACGACGAAACTTATGTGAAGGCGGATTTCAAGCAGCTTCCGGGACAGGAGTTTTATACCGCATCAGGAAAAGGGAAGGTGGCTGAAATTTTCAAAACCATCAAACTATCGAAGTTCCCGAAAACAATTTCTCGTCTGGTTGGCAATATGCACGTGT